GGGTCCCCCCACCCACCCCACCCTCATTTTGGAGCTCGGACAATTCCCCCCACTGCTTGAACAAACACCTTAATCCTCCAGGCTTTGGAAACACCCGGTTATCTGTTGGAGTTCGCTTCTCCCAGCTGGGTCCGAGCCAGCTCCCCCCCTCCTGGCTCTTTCCTTGGCTCTTTCACAGCAATTTTGATTTGATCTGATTAAATCCGGAGCGGAACAGCAAGCGCGGGCAATTAGACAATTAGGGAGCAGCTCGTTGCACAAGAGGAGCTGCCAGGACCTCCCCTCCCCGAAACACGCTCACGGGGCGAGTAGTGCCATGCCTCTCACCAGGCAGGTTCCCGGCACGGCTCGGCCGATTCCTCCCTGCGACTGCAGCGGTTTACGCGCCCGGAGTTTTTTCCAGATGACATTTTTCTCGAGTCGGTGATCCCCTCCCACGCTCGGTCCCACCTGGAGGCCCCATTTCCCGTGTGTTCCTCAGTTGTCCCATGGGTTGGCTTCTGTTCTGTGGCCTTCCCGCCAAATCCCACAGCTCCAATTCCTCACTGGGTCAAACTGGGGTGAACTGGTGTTGTTTTCCTGTAGCTGAGGAAGTCAAACCATCCTCTGCTGTGGAGCCTGGTGGTCGGGTCCGTTGGCTCCTCGGCCTGGCTGGCAAAGGTTGCTTGGCTGTTGTGGGCACGTAGGGAAGAGGGATGGATGGTTGGAGGGACAGCTGGATGGATGGTGGTGTAAATGCATGGATGGATGGTTGGAGGGATGGGTGGATAGTTGACTGGAGGAATGGAGGGAGGGAGGGGAGTGAGGGAGGGATGGGTGGATGGATGAGAATGTGGTTGGGTGGGTGGATGGAGGGATGGAGAGATGATGATGGATGGATGGATGGATGGATGATAATGTGGTTGGGTGGGTGTTTTAGTTGGATGGGTTAGTTGGATAGATGGAGGGAGGGATGGATGGACGATAATGTGGTTGGGTGGATGGAGGGGTTAGTGGGATGGGATAGATGGATGGACAGACAGATGGACGGATGGATGGATGGATGGACGGACAGATGGATGGATGGATGATAATGTGGTTGGGTGGGGTGGATGGTTAGTTGGAACGGATGGACAGATGGACAGATGGATGGATGGATGATAATGTGGTTGGGTGGATGGAGGGGTTAGTGGGATGGGATAGATGGGTGGAGGGATGGATGGACGGACAGATGGATGGAGGGAGGGATGGATGATAATGTAGTTGGGTGGTTGGATGGGTTAGTTGGATTGGATGGATGGATGGATGGATGATAATGTGGTTGGGTGGATGGAGGGGTTAGTGGGATGGGATGGATGGATGGATGGTTGGTTGGTAACATGGTTAGGTGTATAGATAGACACACAGATGTTTTGGTGGCTGGGTAGATGCATGGATGGAGGGATGGACAGACAATAGGATGGGTGGACAGTTGGTCAGAGAAATAGCCCTCATCATCATTTGTGTCTGTCCCCTCCTGTACACCCTGTTGTAAGAGATGAGTAAAACCGAAAGCAGACTGTTACAACGTGAGTAACACCTACTCAGCCCTGGGCTTAACCCCTGACTAACCGGGGCAGGAGTCATGACACCACTCACCTGAAGCACCACCACGTCAGCTGCCCCGGGGGCCGCAGGGCCATGCTCAGGGACCCCAGAAGAGGCGTCACGGCTGATTCAGGTCTCCGTCAGCGCGGAGCACGTCAGCCCTGGGCAGCCAGGCTCTGCATGGGCCTGCACAAGGAAACCCTCCCTCAGCAGGTTTGACATGCTGCCAGCATCGCCGTGGTGGCCCTGAGGCTGGGGAGACTGGGGGACCCCTCTCAACACCCCCATGCAAGGCTGGAAGCATTTGCACAACTTCAAACCCCACCCAAATTGCCTTAAAATAGACAAAAATGGTGTGTATCACCCCCCTCCCGCCCATGCCCTGCCTCTCCCTAAAACCACCGCTTTGTTGCAAGCCACAGCGTAAATCCCTTAATTAGGGAATTCGTTAGGAGTTGGCCCTGCGAAATGCTGCCGGCAGAGCAAGCGGGACGGCAGCCAGGGTGGCCCAAGGGGGATGACAGTCACCCTTCTTCTCCCGCACCCCGAAACTCCCTTGCCTGCTCCG